TCTCCTGCCTCAGCCTCCTAAGTAGCTGGGACTACAGGTGCCTGCCACCACGCCCAGCTACTTTTTGTATTTTTAGTAGAGACAGGGTTTCACTCTGTTGGCCAGGCTGGTCTCAAACTCCTGACCTCTGGTGATCTGCCCGCCTCAGCCTTCCAAAGTGCTGGGATTACACACGTGAGCCACCACGCCCAGCCCTGCCATTCATGTTCTTAAGTTTCGCCCACATCAGAAGACCCTCCCTCTCCTAAATGAATAGCTGCCCCAAGAGAACCAGTGGGGACCATTTTGAGAAGGCTGAGAGTAATACACATGCCAGCTTCCTCATTTGAGCACCTAAAGGCTTGCCGGCTGTCACACCTTTTTGACATCTCAGTTTTCAGAGCATATGGTAGTTACCCGGGCACGGATCCACCCACTGTGTACTCTGAAGCAATCTTACGTTTACATTTGTTTCAAACTGAAGTGCTTCTGTAAACACAGGCAGGTTTCTACATCCGTGTTGAAATATAGGCAAATACCTTGTTTTGTCTTGCTTCCTTCTATACATTTGACAGTTCTTAGAGAGGAGGGGTGCCACAGAGTTCTTACACGGTCCCTATGACACTAAAGAGTTCTCTGTGTAGGGGATGAGGCCCAGGCCTGGCAGAGGGTGAAAGGAGCACAGATAGGTGGAATTAGAAGGCAGGGGTGGCTGTAGCCGGCAACACCGGGGACTTTTCTCCTTCAGGAGTCCTGCTGGCTCAGATAAGGAAGAACCTGACCCTAATGGCGACCACCTCCCAGCTCCCCAAGCTGCTGGTTTACTCCGCGGTGAGTGCCTGCGCTCCCTAGCGTGCTGTGTCAGGCAAGGAGCTGGATTTCTTCTCTGTTCAGTTCCTGCGGGTGTGGGGAACAATGCTGACGGGGAGCCCCTCTCCCCCGCAGCACGACACTACCCTGGTTGCCCTGCAAATGGCACTGGACGTCTACAATGGCGAACAAGCCCCCTATGCCTCCTGCCACATATTTGAACTGTACCAGGAAGATTCTGGGTGAGTGGAGCTAGCAGTGTCCTCTGGAGAGGGCCCTCAGGAGGTGGCTCGGGGCAGCCCAAGGACCCCATGACAGGCAGGCTGGGCAGCTCCCATGTTGCCTCCTGTCGACCCTTAGGAATTTCTCAGTGGAGATGTACTTTCGGAACGAGAGTGACAAGGCCCCCTGGCCGCTCAGCCTGCCTGGCTGCCCTCACCGCTGCCCACTGCAGGACTTCCTTCACCTCACGGAGCCCGTCGTGCCCAAGGACTGGCAGCAGGAGTGCCAGCTGGCAAGCGGTCCTGCAGACACAGGTGAGCTGTCACCAGACTCCTTGCTAGTCATGCCCCAGACCAACCTGCAGTTCATATCCTCAAATCTCAAGAGCTGTCGCACTCCCAGTCATCTGACTGCATTTGCTAGGAGTTCCCTCCCCGACCCCAGACCACTTTATACCTTCTCCCCACTTCTCACCCTCAGGTGATGTCTCACTTATATCACCAAGAAAATAAGAGCCAGGAGAGAATCGGCTCGTTCTTCCACCACCAGCTCCACCAGCTTACTTGCTGGGGAAGCCACTGCTTAGGATGGCCTCTCCACCCACGCTCAGGTTCTCTCTCCTCACCTCTGCAAGGAGCTCTGACGCCTCTGCTTCCCTACTGGATCACTTCCCTCCCAAAAGCCCATCCATGACCTCTGAGAGCCACCTCTTCCCCAGCCACCAGCCTCTTCCCTCTCAGAATGGAATCCTCGGAAGAGCTGCCTAGACTCTGGCTCTGCTTCCTCACCGCCTGATCTCTTAGACTCACATTAGACAGTCTTGTGTCACCTTCCACTACCCTGAAGCCACACTTGTCTGGTGACCAGTGACCTCCTCTTACCAAAGCCAGTGACCAGTTCTTAGCTTCTCTCGCCTCTCAGCAGCATTACATAATTGGCCACCTCTTCCTGAAACACTTTCTTGGCGTCTCCTGACTTTAGTTGTCCCTTCCTCACTAAAGAATGGATGACCCAGGACTCATCCCTGGCGCTTTCCCCATCTGTGCACACTCCCAAGTGATCTTATGCAGCCTTATGACTTTATGCCCATCTCCATGCTCACTTCTGTCCTTACGCCCTGACTCACAGATTCACCACCTCTTCTCTGAGCTAGACTCATATCCAGCTGCCGACTTGAGGTCTCTATGTGCACGTTAAGTAAGGCATCTCAAAGTTGCAATGTCTTAAACCAGATGCTTTTCCTTCCAAAGCTGCTTTTCTTCCAGGCTTCCTTGTTTCAGTCAATGCCACGAGTTGCCTAGTGGCACAGTATAGCCCTTGGAGTCATTCTGCATACCGTTTCTCATACCCCTCATCCAGCCCACTGCCAGATCAGCTCAACCTTTCAAATATTAATACGTGCTCTTGCCTCCACAGTCCAATCTACTGTCAGCTTTTGCCGACCGACTGAAGTTTCCTAGTTCTTTCTGGTTCTATTCTTGTCCCTACCAGTCTTTCAGCACAGCAGAGTTAACTTTTTTTATTTTTTTGAGACGGAGTTTTGCTCTTGTCACCCAGGCTGGAGTGCAATGGCGCAGTCTCGGCTCACTGCAACCTCCGCCTCCCGGGTTCAAGCGATTCTCCTGCCTCAGCCTCCTGAGTACCTGGGATGACAGGCATGCATCACCATGCCCAGCTGATTTTGTATTTTCAGTAGAGACGAGGTTTCTCCATGTTGGTCAGGCTGGTTTCAAACTCCGGACCTCAGGTGATCCGCCCACCTTAGTCTCCCAAAGTGCTGGGATTACAGGCATGAGCCACCGTGGCCGACTGAGTTAACTCTTAAACCAGTTCACACTACTGTCCTCTCAGAATTTTCCAATGGCTTCCCATCACATGTAGAATAAAATCCAAGTTCTTCACCATGGCCTTCCAGGCCCTACTCCATCTGGTCTCCTGCCCCATCTCCTACATGCCCTTTGCTTACTCTGCTCTGGTGAGACTGACTTTCCTGATGATCCTAGCACATGCCAGGCTTATCCCCACATTTGGGCCTTTTGCCCTTCCTTCCTGTCCTCTGCCCCATGACACTCTTCTCAGATCATTGTATGTCACTCATTGACTCCAGGTCTCTGTTAAACTTCTCACTTCCTCAACGATGCCTTCCCTGCTGACCTACTTTGCTTTGTCTCTCTGTATCACATTCATCACTGACCTGTCACTCCTAACTTTTTTTTTTTTTGAGAGAGCGTCTCATTCTGTCGCCCAGGCTGGAGTGCAGTGGTGTGATCTCGGTTCACCGCAGCCTCCGCCTCCCAGGTTCAAGCAATGCTCCCGCCTCATCCTCCTGAGTACCTGGGACTACAGGCGTGTACCACCACGCCCAGCTTTTATGTATTTTTTATTTTTTTGAGATGGAGTTTCGCTCTTGTTGTCCAAGCTAGGGTGCAATGGCACGATCTCAGCTCACTGCAACCTCTGCCTCCCGGGTTCAAGCAATTACTCTGCCTCAGCCTCCCGAGTAGCTGGGATTACACACGCGCATCACCACGCCCGGCTAATTTTTTGTATTTTTAGTAGAGATGGCATTTCACCATGTTGGCCAGGCTGGTCTTAAACTGCTGACCTCAGGTGGTCTGCCCACCTCGGCCTCCCCAAGTGCTGGGATTACAGGTGTGAGCCACTGCGCCCGGCCAACTTTATTTAGTAACGATGGGTTTTCACCATGATGGCCAGGCTGGTCTCAAACTCCTGACCTCAGGTGATCTGCCCGTCTCAGCCTTCCACAGTGCTGGGACTACAGGCATGAGCCACTATGACCAGCCCATTTGCTTATTTATTACATCCCCTCTCCTCGCACGTAAACTCCATGAGAGCAGGGACTCTGTCTGGCCACCTCTGTGTATCTCCTATGTGTCAGAACAGTCCCTGGCATATGATGGATGCTGACATGACCTTTCTCTTGCCTCCCCCATGCCCAGAAGTGATCGTGGCCTTGGCTGTATGTGGCTCCATCCTCTTCCTCCTCATAGTGCTGCTCCTCACCGTCCTCTTCCGGATGCAGGCCCAGCCTCCTGGCTACCGCCACGTCGCAGATGGGGAGGACCATGCCTGACAACCACTCAGCCCGCTTCCCTCCGCCTCCTAGGGGAGGTGGGCTGGGCCCTCGCTCCTGACTGTTGCTGCTCCCCAGCCCATGGACGGGAGATCCTGGGTTGGGCCTCCCTCTGATGACCCCAGCCAGATGAGCGAGTGGGGCTCAGCGTGGCCCGTGGTGCCTGTCACTCAGCATTCCCATGCCTGATGTTTACCAAGTGCTGTGTTGGACACTGGCTTTCTCCAAACAGGATTTGCCTCCTCCATGCTCCCTACACACCTGAGATGTAAACTGGTCGTCAGTGTTCACTCAGGACCTAGGATTAGAAAACGGCAGAGTTGGTGCTGGATCCACCTTGCGCCTCTATCAAGCCCCGTTCTTTTTCCTCCAGCCTGGAGTCTTTGGCAAATAGCTCAGAGGACACGGTCTTGCCTCTCAGTGCTTATTTTAGTGAGAAAAACAGCAAATACCAGGGGTACAAACATTGGCTCCCAAAGAACTGGATCACCCAACAGCCAGCCAGCCACATTTCCCTGTGTCTGGCTAGAGCCACCGTTAGACTCAGACAGAATGCTTCAGGAACCTTTGTCACCCCTTCAATTGGAGCAGGATGGAAGGGTGTCTGTACTTGGGAGGGAGTGGGGAGTGGTGGGAGGGGAGTTGCTTGTCACATGGAATCAGGAAACTGCTGTCCCTCAGCTGGGCTGGGGTCTCCAGGGACCTGAGGTACATGCAGGTTGTAAGCTGGAAAAGAAAGTTGTAGACTGTGGCCCAGAATAGGGCTGGGGCAGCTCCCAGAGAATGAATAGTGTTGTTTCCTATTGGACTGATAGTGCTGTTTCCTGTGCCTTTTCATTTCTGAGACGCAAGAAGCTCTCTGACCAGGTTACTTCTGGAAGATCCACACAAAAGCTCAGTCGGGTATGGTTTTATTGGCCATATCAAAAGTGAGCAGAAATCAAATAACTGCTTGATCCCTCCGCTACCACCCACTGAGAGGAGGAGAAAAGTCATTCAGTTCCAAGATAACCTTGGTTCCAGGCTAGATACAGAGGGGCCCTTGGGGCAGCTGCGTCACCAACTCTGGAGCAGTCTCTGGAGGTAGGTCCAGAGCATTAACACGAAAGTGTCCCAGTCCCACAGCGCCCCAGCTCCCAGCACCCCTGCTCCAACCCTAGCCGTGGATACTTTTGGCCCTTTAACAAATCGCCACCTCTGCTCGCAGGACTTGATCCCATGTGTGGGCTCCAAGGCCTTGTCTGGCCCACACCTTCTTTAGTGTCTCTCATTTCCGGGTCCTGGCTTCCTCCTGGCTCCAGATGAGAATGTGGTAACCTAGGAGGAATGAGACCAGTCTGACTTACACCTTCCATTACCAGTCTCTCAGAGCCTGGGGCTGGCCTGCAAACCTAGGATTTGGTAAAGAAATACTAGGAAGGCCAGGCACAGTGGCTCACGCCTGTAATCCCAGCACTTTGGGAGGCCAAGGCGGGCGGATCGTGAGGTCAGGAGATCGAGATCATCCTGGCTAACACGGTGAAACCCCGTCTCTACTAAAAATACAAAAAATTAGCTGGGCGTGGTAGCGGGCACCTGTAGTCCCAGCTACTCGGGAGGTTGAGGCAGGAGAATGGCGTGAACCCAGGAGGCGGAGTTTGCACTGAGCCAAGATCGTGCCACTGCACTCCAGCCTGGGGGGACACAGCGAGACTCCATCTCAAAAAAAAAAAAGGAATACTAGGAAACTGGCCGGCATGATGGCTCATGCGTGTAATCCCAGCACTTTGGGAGGCCAAGCTGGACGGATCACCTGAGGTCAGGAGTTTGAGACCAGCCTGGCCAACATGGTAAAAGCCTGTCTCTACTAAAAATATGAAAAAAATTAGCTGGACGTGGTAGCAGGCACCTGTAATCCCAGCTACTCGGGAGGCTGAGGCAGGAGAATCTCTTGAACCTGAGAGGCGGAGGTTGCAGTGAGTCAAGACCATGCCATTGCACTCCGGTCTGGGCCACAAGAGTGAAACCCCGTCTCAAAAAAAAAAAAAAAAAAGAAAGAAAGAAACATTAGGAAACTGGACAGTAGCCAGGCATTGCATGACCAAGACAAAGCCAGAGGCATGGAGGGCCTCGGCTAAAGAGACCACTGTCTTCCAGCCATCTTCCGCGGGCCACTGCCCTGGGGTGAATGTGGCAGGGCAGGGCTGAGGCTGGCCCGCACTGAACCTTGGGAAGTAGGATTGGGCTCGGCAAGTCAGATACATCCTCTTCCTACTCACCCATTGCAGAGGCCAGCGTGTCCCCCATGGGATTGAACTCATTGAGCTGCAGAGACAAGAGTGTCAACACAAGGAAAGGGTGAAGGTATTAGCAGAGACATAGAAGGGCACACAAAACCTAATTTCTGGTCATTTTTGGTCAATAAGGTAGGTTGAATCCCTGCTTCCTCCCATCATTATTTGAGGGCCCAAGCCTCACCGAACTGATGCCAGAAGATTCTGGGTCATAGAGCTGACACATCATCTTCCCTGAGTTTCCATCAAACACATCGATCGTCCTCATTTCATAGGGGGTACAACTTTTGAAATTAGGATCTGGGTATCGGCCTACAACAATGAGGTTGTAGCGAGGATGCCAGGCTGCCTAGGAGGTGGAGAGGCCGGTCATGAGAGTAAACGCAGAACATGACCAAGAGGGACATCAAACATCAACAAAGAGGGACATCAAAAGTATTCTTTGGGCTGAGCGCGGTGGCTCACGCCTGTAATCTCAACACTTTGGGAGGCCGAGGTGGGCGGATCACGAGGTCAGGTGATCGAGACCATCCTGGCTAACATGGTGAAACCCTGTCTCTACTAAAAATACCAAAAAAAAAATTAGCTGGGCGTGGTGGCACATGCCTGTAGTTCCAGCTACTCGGGAGGCTGAGGCAGGGGAATCACTTGAATCTGGGAGGCGGAGGTTGCAGTGAGCCAAGATGATGCCACTGCACTCCAGCTTAGGGGACAGAGCAAGACTCTGTCTCAAAGGGGAAAAAAAAAAAAAGGTGGTATTTGCCAGTAACAAGCCAACCTAATAATGGAGGTAAGTCTTACAGAAAACGACAAGAATGGTTTTTGGTTGTGTTTGCCTCTGCCATTGCACATTTTTAATCCCTAGCTGGCCTCCCTGGCCCTTAGGGCAGCCTCAGGCCTTCTCCCTCACTTGCATTTCCTAAGATCATGCTAACTGATAAACGTTTTCACCTCAGCCTGACCCAGATATTAGCCTAAGAGGTCAGCCTACAACAAAGCAAAAGAAGCCTCTGATGACCAAAACCTAACAGGACTTCAGTTCTGGAGGAACCCCACTATCATCCCGCCTCGTCAGCATGAATTACTAAGAGTTGAGTATAGAATTGCTACTGGCTAAAAAGAGAAGGAAACCCATGTTCCCCAGATCACCCCACTGAAACAAATCTGGCAGTTATTAAAATGACAAAATTGGATGGGATTTTCCTAATTAAACTTCTCAAGGAAGTTTTGAAGGAGGAAAGACATGGTTAGCAGGAAGGAAGAAATAGTACATGCAAAGGCTTAGAAGTAAGTCACAAATCACAGGAAGCTGTAATGACTTATGACACCTGGCTAGATACAAACTGGTACATGGGGACAGATGGATTATTAGGAACACCGATGGATTAACAGGAACACCAATTGGGGAAGGATTCTTGACATTACTTATTAAGAGCTTGGATGTGATTGAGGTACATGGGGGCCACTCAATATTCAATCATCATTTATTGAGTACTTACCAATACTTACCAGGTGCTGGGCATGGGGCCAAGTGCGTTAAGTATACTGACTCATCGTCACAACAACCCTATCAGTTAGAGACTAGTATTCCCTTTTTGCAGATGAGGAAACAGATCCAAAATATAAATAATTTGCCCAAGGATTCTAACCCGGGGGGTCTGGCTGCTGGAAACTGGTGCTCTCCACCACTAGGCTGAACTGACCAGAGAAGTACAGGCATAAAACCTGAAGATCTGAAGAGGATCTGTAGTTTTGGAAAAGGACACAGAACTAGCAGAGCTCAGGCTGCATGGGGGCTCAGGCAAGAAGGCATCAAAGGACTTGAAAGCCGTTAGTCTTGGGGACTAAGGATAGAGAAGCTATTAACAAGACCCTGCGAAAAGGTGGGAAAATAAAAGACTTATTTTTATTATTATTATTATTATTATTTTTTTTTTTTTTTTTTTTTTGAGGCGGAGTCTTCACTCTGTCGCCCAGGCTGGAGTGCAGTGGCACCATCTCGGCTCACTGCAAGCTCCGCCTCCCGGGTTCGCGCCATTCTCCTGCCTCAGCCTCCGGAGTAGCTGGGACTACAGGCGCCCGCCACCGCGCCCGGCTAATTTTTTGTATTTTAGTAGAGACGGGGTTTCGCCGTGTTAGCCAGGATGGTCTCGATCTACTGACCTCGTGATCCGCCCGCCTCGGCCTCCCAAAGTGCAGGGATTACAGGCGTGAGCCACCGCGCCCGGCCTATTTTTATTATTAGAAGCACAGAAACCTGCAAGACAAACTAAGAAGGCAAAGTTGCCAGGCGTGGTGGCTCATGCCTGTAATCCCAGCACTTTGGGAGGCCAAGGCGGGAGGATAGCTTCAACCTAGGAGTTCAAGACCAGCTTGGGCAACATGGCAAAACCCCATCTCTACAAAAAATAAAAAAATTAGCTGGATGTGGTGGCACACACCTGTAGTCCAATCTACTCCCGAGGCTAAGATGGAAGGATTGCTTGAACCCAGGAGGTTGAGGCTGCAGTGAGCTATGTTTGTGCCACTGCACTCCAGCCTGGGTGACAGAGCAAGACCCTGTTTCAAGAAAGAAAAAAAAAAAAAAGGACCAGCCTGGGTAACAGAGGAATACCCTGTCTTTAAAAAACAAAAAGCAGGCCGGGCGCGGTGGCTCAAGCCTGTAATCCCAGCACTTTGGGAGGCCGAGGCGGGCGGATCACAAGGTCAGGAGATTGAGACCACAGTGAAACCCCGTCTCTACTAAAAATACAAAAAAAAAAAAAAATTAGCCGGGCGCGGTGGCAGGCGCCTGTAGTCCCAGCTACTCAGGAGGCTGAGGCAGGAGAATGGCGTGAACCCAGGAGGCGGAGCTTGCAGTGAGCCGAGATCGCGCCACTGCACCCCAGCCTGGGCAACAGCGTGAGACTCCGTCTCAAAAAAAAAAAAAAAAATAAATAAATAAATAAATAAATAAATAAAAAGAAAAATAAAAAAATAAAAAACAAAAAGCAAAAAAGAAACACAAAAACAAAACAATGAGGCAGGAGGATCGCTTGAGCCTGGGAGATCAAGGCTGCAATGAACCATGATTGCCCCACTATACTCCCAGCTGGGTGACAGAGCGAGACCCTGCCTTAAAAAAAATAAATAAATAAAAGGTGAGGGTTTGTGGGTCAACTGTACACAGGTAACTGAAGCTGAGAAGACAGAACAGAGGGTCAGGATCTTAGAAAATGCTCACCGTGAGATCAGAGCTGGGCTGAAAAAACTCAGAAAAATACTTTATCAGAGAGACAGAAAGAAAACTCAACCATATGGAATGGCAGAAGTGGGATAAAAGGAAGAGAGAGAGCCAAAGGGTAAGAGATGCTCTGTGCTTGGGCCAGGAGCGATCTGGGGTGGCAGGCTTACCACATCAGCCCTTCCCCACCGTGGGCAGACCTGCTCCAGCCTCATGATCACAGCTTCCTTCTGGGAGCTCCTTCCCTCCGCCACTCACCTTGATGGGTGTGAGGTGCTGGAAGTGACGGTGAGGGTGTGGGATCAGGCCCAGGGGGCAGTCCCACTGGGAAGCAGAGTAAATTCGGATCTCGCTTTTCTGGTCCGTGGTCAGGAGCCGGGCTCCATCGGGACTGAAACAAGCTGGCAAAGTGAAAAGCCCCTGAGCTGAAGGAACCACGAGCCCCCTGTGGTCCTGGCCTTGCAGGCCTTCTCCTGCAGGGGTACCCTCCCTACCACTCCTCTCTAGACAGGAGCGGAAAGGAAGAGGTGAATCTGGGCTATGAACAACAACAAAATTCTGGAAACTCAGCAGTTGATGGGGACAGCCACAGCCACAAAGATTCCCAGACATCAGCTTGGCAGACGCTATCAGGGGTAAAGGTTTGTGGTAGTGGCTTCCACGCTGAGGGAACACCCCAGCAGCAGTCAGATAGGCAGGGTCTGCAGGAGGGATGAAGTCTGGGATATCACACCTGCGTTGACAGGATGCCTGTGCGGCAGCGAGTAGAGGAAGCTGGCTTTCCCTCTAACCTGGCGCAGGTCCCAGATTTTCACTGTTTGATCTACGGAGGCTGTGGCCAGGAACCAATCACAGCATGGGTTCAGGGCCACATGCGTCACTTTCTTTTTGTGCATTCTGAGATTCCAAAGCTGCAGAGAAGAGCTCGGTTCAGGTGGGGACACAGAACCGAGGCGGGGATGAGGGAGGGAAAGGCAGGACCTGGGAGAACGCACCTCTTTGCCGTCCATGTTCAGCAGGATCACGTTCCCCACGTTGTCTCCTGTGACCACCATTCGGCTACTGGCGGACACATCCAGGCTACAAAACCAGATGCTGGAGGGAAAGACTGTGTTGTAAGATTCTTGGGACAGAGATAGGCCTGTTTACTCACTGTTGCTGCTCCAGTGACTAACCCACAGTGGGCATTCAATAAATATTTGTTGAATGAATGAATAACTGTCTTGCTGTGGATTCCTAGCGAGGAACATTCAGACTGCTCTACCGTCCAGACAGAGGGAATGGGGTAATGGGGCTCAGAAATCTGTCCGGTTACTGCTGGGCCCAGGATCCCCAGCTCCTAAGAGTCTCTGAAGCAGACAAAGCTCAAACCATAAAGCAAGCCTCAGGGCACGCCCGCCCCCACACCCCGGGTTCTAAGCAATCCTCCTTTACTGCTCTCTCCTTTCACTCTCCACCCTTTGGGCCAAAGGAGACACAAGCCAAACAGGGATTGCCTTGCTCTGTTCCTCAGAGCTGGCTGGAAAGGCACTTCTGCCCCTTCTGAACACTGAGGGAAAAACACACAACCAGGAGCTCTTCTGGTCCCTCAAACCACTGGACTGGGAGGCTGACTAGGGGTGCTTCAGGGATCCTGCTATCCAGCCAGAGGAGCTCAGCTCAGTTTTTCTCTCAAACCCTCAAATCCATGCTACACTGACTTTTGCCATCCCTTATGAATATCTTCAAGCAAGAAGATTTCTTGCGGAAAACGAGCCTGGAGCCTCGTCTATCCAATCACCTGCTGAATTGCGCATGCACTCCTCATCCCTGCAGGACAGCCCAGGATCCCATCCAATGCTAGTTACACCCCAGCACCCTCACTTAATTCCTCAGGGAGCAGTCAGAGTCCCGGCTCTAGCTGGAAATCAAAGTGACGAGTATTTTGTAATTTTTTTTTTTTTTTTTTTGGAGATGGAATTTCACTCTTGTTGCCCAGGCTGGAGTGCAGTGGCGCAATCTCGGCTCACTGCAACCTCTGCCTCCTGGGTTCAAGCTACTCTCTTGCTTCAGCCTCCCAAGTAGCTGGGAATTACAGGCACCTACCACCACATCCGGCTCATTTTTGTATTGTTAGTAGAGATGGGGTTTCACCATGTTGGCCAGGCTGGTCTTGAACTCCTGACCTCAGGTGATCCACCCACCAGGCATGAGCCACTGCACCCAGCTGCATTCTGTAATTTCTCCAGCCACTTTCTCTTGGGAAGTTCAGAGCACTTTATGGACAAGATTCCATCCATGTAAGCTTGCACCCAGGAACGGCTCAGGTCATTACACCACAGCGAGTGCAGGGAATTCAGTCTCAAGTTCTTAGCTGCTGCTCCATTCTCTAGGTGGCTTTCTGGGCCTATGCCATGCTGGCTTATCTAGTGAAGGTCCAGGTCTAGTCTAATACAGGTATGACTTACAGAAGAGCTGAGGCTCCAGAACACCTTCCAAAGCAGTAACCCACCTGGACCAAAGTGAGGGTGGCCAAGGAACAGTTTGAGAAAGAGAAAGAAGGGCGGAAGGTGGCTGACATCTTTCCTTTCTTCCCTGTGCCAGGTTGGGTTGAGGAAATGGGATCTGGATGCTCTTGCCGGAACTACACCTAAGCTTAGAAGCCCTTTCCCCACCTAGTTAAACTACTCACTTGATGGTGTCTGAGCTGGCAAAAACTCGTAGAATGTTGCCTTTAAAGTCTTGCAGCCTAGTTGTTCCCTCCATTGAGGAGGCATAAAACTGGTTGGTATTGAGAGGGTTAAACTTCAGCCCAGTGATGCTCCCTCCAGCTCCAATCTAACATGAGGAAGGAAAAAGCCAGTGAGTGATGATGGGCCTGGCAGTGAGGAACCAGGCCTGGGCACGCGTGCTGCGCTGTCACGGAAGCACCAACGAGCAGTGCGTGGGGCCAGGTCAGCTCGGACACCTAAACACTAGGACGCTCTCCACAGAGCCTTCACTTCTTTTTCTTTTCCCTTGAAATAGGGTCTTTCTCTGTCACTTAGGATGAAGTGCAGTGGCACGAACACGGCTCACTGCAGCCTCAATCTCCCAGGCTCAAACGATCCTCCTACCTCAGCCTCCCAAGTAGCTGGGACTACAGGTGCACACACCATGCCCAGTTCATTTTTGTATTTTTTTTTTTTTTTTAAAGATGGGGTTTTGTCATGTTGCCCAGGCTGGTCTTGAACTCTTGAGTTCAAGCGATCTGCCCACCTCGGCCTCCCTAAGTGCTGGCATTACAAGTGCTAATTTTTAAAAAATTGTTGGTAGAGACAGGGTCTCATTGTGGTGCCCAGGCTGGTCTCGAACTCCTGAGCTCAAGTGATCCTCCTACCGTGGCTTCCCAAAGTGCTAAGATTATAGGCATGAGCCACTTTGCCTGGCCCCTTCTTTTCTTTTTCTTCCTTTCTTTCTTTCTCTTTCTTCCTCCCTCCCTCCCTCCCTTTCCTTTGTTTTTTTTTTTTTTGAGATGGAGTCCCACTCTGTCACCCAGGCTGGAGTGCAATGGCGTGATCCCGGCTCATTGCAACCTCTGCCTTCCAGGTTCAAGCGATTCTCCTGCCTCAGCCTCCCAAGCAGCTGGGATTACAGGTGCCCACCACCACGCATGGCTAAATTTTGTATTTTTAGAAGAGACAGGGTTTCACCATGTTGGCCAGGCTGGTCTTGAACTCCTGACCTCAGGTGATCCGCCAGCCTCAGCCTCCCAAAGTGCTGGGATTATAGGCGTGAGCCACTAAGTCTGGCCTCCCTTCATTTCTTAAGGCTTTATTTTTACTTTCTTTTTTTTAATTAACATATAGCAAATTTGGGGTATACAGTTCTCTGAATTTTAACATATGTATAGATTTAAATAACCACCACCCAAATCAAAATGCAGAACATTTGCAACAGCCCAAAAACTCCATTGTGCTATCCCATTGCAATCACACCCTCCCCTCGCCCCCAGCCCCTGGCTGATCTGTTCTCCATCACTATTGTTTTGCCCTCATAGAATGTCCAATAGACCAGGCACAGTAATCCCACCATCTGGGAGACTGAGGCGGGGGGACTGCTTGAGGCCAGGAGTTCAAGACCAGCCTGAGCAATATAGGGAGAACCCCCATCTCTACAAAAAAAAAAAAAAATATATATATATATATATATACACACACACACACACACACACACACATATATATATATAGGCATGGTGGTAGGTGCCTGTGGTTCTAGCTCCTCAGAAGGCTGAGGTGGGAGGATGACGGAACCCTGAAGGTCGAGGCTGCAGTGAGTTGTGATCGCATCACTGCACTCTAGCGTGGGTGACAGAGCAAGATCCTGTCTCTAAAAATAAAATTAAATTAAAAATAGAATTAAAAATAGAATGTCATGTAAATGAATTAGGCAGTATGCAACCTTTTGAGACTGTCTTGTTTCATGTCACTCATCATGCCTCTGAGATTCATCTGAGTTTGCTTTATCAACAAGCTCATCTCATTTTATTGCTGAGGTATTATTCCATTTTATGGATGTGCCCTAATTTGCTATTCCCACAGTGCTCTCTTTAGAAGAGCTTCAGCTCAGAGCAGTGGCGGAGTTAGGAGGGCAAGAGTCAGATCTGTGCCCCTTCCTATTCTTCCAGTCATCCCAGAAAATTATGATGAAAGTAATCATGATAATATCAATGGCTTAACCTTATTAATTGCTTACTATGTATTAGGCACTGTTTTTTGGGGGGAATTTTTTTTTTTTTTTTAGATGGAGTCTTGCTCTGTCGCCCAGGCTGGAGTGCGGTGGTACAACCTCAGCTCACTGCAGCCTCCACCTCCCGGATTCAAGCAATCCTCCTGCCTCAGCCTCCTGAGTAGCTGGGATTACATTCCCGTACCATCACACCCGGCTAATTTTGTATTTTTAGTAAAGACGAGTTTCACCATGTTGGTCAGGCTGGTCTCGAACTCCCGACCTCAGGTGATTGGCCTGCCTCAGCCTCCCAAAGTGCTGGGATTACAGGCGTGAGCCACTGTGCCCGGTCAGGCATTGTTTTAAGAACTTTACATCCCCAAGAGGGAAACTTCTCCACTTCTCTGCCTTTCTCCACCTTTTCCACTTCTTCCTTACGCTGCAGCTATCCCAGCCTCATAGAACTGTACAAGTTCCTCTATGCAACAATCACTTAGCTATCGCAACATACTAACTGGCACGTTCCCTTCCCTCTATAAAACGTTCTAACCTCACGGTCATTCTAATGCTCACGGTCTGCCAAATGCTGGCTGGTAGTATGATAATCTTCTGCTCCCTCCAGTTGAGTTCTATGCTTACCAACCAAGGGTTGGTTGTGGTTGTTCTCAAATCTGTTTATTCCAGTTGCATCTTTTATTGTAATTAATACCAAATTTAATCAAGCATGTAAACTGATGAAATACGTGCAAAAACAAAGGACATTGTTACTTCTACAAAAGCCGTGTTGAAAGCTTTGGGAGAACTCGGTAATGAGTTGCAAAAAGAATAGCCATTGGCTGGGCACAGTAGCTCACATCTATAATACCAGTATTTTGGGGCGCTGGGGTAGGAGAATCGCTTAAGGCCAGGAGTTCGAAACCCTGATGCAGTGGTGCAATCCTGGCTCAGTGTAGCCCCAACCTCCTGGGCTCAAGCAGTCCTCCCGCCGCCTCAGCCTCCCAAGTAGCTGGGGCTATAGGTGTGTGTCACCAATTTTTATTATTTATTTATTTTTTTTAGAGACCGGGTCTCACTATGTAACTCAGGCTGGTCTCAAATTCCTGGGCTCAAGCAATCCTTCCACCTCAGCGTCCCAAAGTCCTGTTATAGGCATGACCCACTGGGTCCAGCCTCTAAAAAAATTATTAAAAATCAGCTGGGAGTGATGGTGCACACCTGTGCTCATAGCTATTCGAGAGGCTGAGGCGGGATGATGACTTGAGCCCAAGAGTTCAAGGCTGCAGCAAGCTATGATCCTACCACTGCATTCCAGCCTGGGCGGCAGAGCAAGACCCTATCTCTATTGGAAAAAAAAAAAAAAAAAGAGCCATCAAATTAAGCACGGGGTGAGACACTTATAAAAGATTAAGGTAATAAAACTGTAAAGAGAATCTGCAATCAGATTGCTTCACAACTGTCTTTACTTTGTATACTGCAAACCATAATTTCGTATCAATGTCTTCAATTCAAATTCAACACCACAGAGTTGATTCGAGTTTCTCTCTTTCCATATTTATAATTCCCTTCTTTGACAGTGAAAAATGTAGTTCCCATTATACTCAATATACTTACATATTTGATTAATCTCCTTGTATTTAACCAGTCTTCCACTATTGCTGCCACACACCCCCAAATGCACATCTTCCTTAGGATGCTTGGACTCTTGTACCCTCCCGAGGGCACAATCACCCTCTCCTCTCTCTCCACTCCCTCAACCACGCAGACACAACTTCCTTGCCCACATCAGGCGCCACTGCCGTCCCCTCTCCATGCAAAAGCCCTGCTCACCCCACTTGACTCCGCCACCCCACTCTAGACCTCCCTGTGGGTCAGCCTCCTTACCCCCGCTTCACACTTCACTGTTCCATGCCTGGCCTCCTCTACTCTCCACCCCTGCCTGCATGGATGCCCCTCTGATCTTGCTTGGGTCCAGTCTCTATGTACTGAGCTGCTGCCACCTGCCACCTGTACTGACACCCACCTCAGCTTCAGGGGCCCAGCATCTGGTACTTCCAGCACTGTAGCCTCCCCACTACATAAACATCTATCTTGCTTGATCCTACCTAATGACTTTTGGTTTGAACTGTTCAGGAAGGGAAAAAGATGATGATGAAAGAGGAAGATAGATAGATAGATAGAAAGAAATAATTTTTTTTTTTTTTTTTTTTTTTGAGATGGAGTCTCACTCTAGCCCAGGCTGGAGTGCAATGGTACGATCTCAGCTCACTGCAATCTCCGCCTCCCAGGTTTAAGCAATTCTCTAGCCTCAGCCTCCCAAGTACCTGGGATTACAGGCTCACACCACCACACTTAACTAAGTTTTGTATTTTTAGTAGAGATGGAGTTTCATCATGTTGGCCAGGCTGGTCTCGAACTCCTGACCTCATGTGATCTGCCTGCCTCGGCCTCCCAAAGTGCTGGGATTACAGTCATGAGCCACCAGACCTGGCTGAGGAAGAGATACTGATCTTTCTTTTTTTAATTTTTATTTATTTATTTTTTGAGACAGAGTCCCACACTGTTGCCCAGGCTGGAGTGCAGTGACACAATCTTGGCTCACGGCAACCTCTGCCTCCTACGTTCAAGCAATTCTCCTGCCTCAGCTTCCCGGGTAGCTGGGATTACAGGTACCTGCTACCATGCTCGGTGAATTTTTGTGTATTTTTAGTAGAGACAGGGTTTTGCCATGTTGGCCAGGCTGGCCTCAAACTCCTGACCTCAGGTGATCTGCCCACTTTGGCCACCCAAAGTGCTGAGATTACAGGAGTGAGCCACCGCACCCAGCTAGATATTGATCTTAAATCCTCCCTCTCCACAGACTAGAAAACGAGGGAATCATTCCCAAGCTAATGAGGGCAGCATAATCTTTTTTTTTGAGACAGAGTCATGCTCTGTTGCTCAGGCAATCTCGGCTTACTACAACCTCCGCCTCCTGGGCTCAAGCAATTCTCAGAAATCAGCATAATCTTTTTTTTTTTTTTTTCTGAGACGGAGCCTCACTCTGTTGCCAGGCTAGAATGCAGTGGCGTGATCTCGGCTCACTGCAACCTCTGCTTCCCGGGTTCAAACAATTCTCCTGCCTCAGCCTCCCAGGTAGCTGGGATGACAGGAGTGCACCACCACACCCAGTTAATTTTTGCATATTTAGTACAGACTGGGTTTCACTATGTTGGCCAGGAGTCTCCATCTCCTGACCTTGTGACCCGCCCGTCTCGGCCTCCCAAAGTGCTGGAATTACTGGAGTGATCCACCGCGCCCG